GCGAGTAGTCTAGACGTGCTTGTAGACAGGCCAAATTTCAGGAAATCCTCTTCCTAAAGAAAAGTGGGAAAAGATATGCAAGTTGCATATCTTTTACTGACTTTTCTTTGTAGTCTAGACGTAGCCCCAGTGAAGAATTCTGCATCCAGCTGAAGCTGCAGGAGGAATTTTGGGACGTGGAAGGAAGTTATCCAGCTGGCAATTCCACAGAGTGACCTACAGTGGGTAGCATGTTACCTGGGGGACTAGCTCTCTGGCAGCTCCAGAGAGAGCAAAGGATGCACAGGATTGCAGGAGAGTCTGTGCGTGCTCTCCGAGATTCCTCTTCACTGACATCCACAAAGATCTGGTGGCTGCGCACGGCGCAGAAGTGGTCAGGAAGTTGCTTCATTGGCATTCCGGGTGCACTGTAAAAAGAAACAGGATGGGGTGGGGGAGGGAAGAACGTAAACCAGCTAGTCAGAATTAAGATGAATCCCCTTACAAATGATCTGAGGAAGTGGCCCTGGCCCAAGAAAGCTCATCACCTAATAAATCATCTTGGGTATGTCTACACTAGCCCCCTAGTTCGAACTAGGGTGGCTAATGTAGGCATTCGAACTTGCAAATGAAGCCTGGGATTTAAATATTCCAAGCTTCATTTGCATGGTCCTGGACGCCACCATTTTTAAATCCCCTTAGTTCGAACTGACTGCCCGCGGCTGCACGCGGCAATCAAAAGTTAATCCGAACGAAGTCCTTAGTTCGGATTAACTGTTAGACCTCATTGCAGGAGAAGTAACAGTTATTACGAACTAAGGACTTAGGGTATGTCTACACTACAAAGTTAGTTCGAACTAACGGATGTTAGTTCAAACTAACTTTCATAGGCGCTACACTAGCGCTCCGTTAGTTTGAATTTAATTCGAACTAACAGAGCGCTTAGTTCGAACTAGGAAAACCTCATTCCACGAGGATTAAGCCTAGTTCGAACTAGCTAGTTCGAATTAAGGGGTGTGTAGCCCCTTAATTCGAACTAGTGGGAGGCTAGCCCTCCCCAGGTTTCCCTGGTGGCTACTCTGGCCAACACCAGGGACGCTCGTCTGCCCCCCTCCCGGCCCCGGACCCCTTAAAGGGGCACGGGCTGGCTACGGTGCCCGTGCCAGGTGCAAGCCTGCCAGCACCCAGCTAGCAGACCCTGCACCTGGCACGGCTCCCATAAACTTGAAATAAGATACGGAAATTGCATACTTATTTCAAGTCTATTTCAAATTAGGCTATTTCAAAATTTGACACTGTCTACACAGTACCAAATTTTGAAATAAAGTGCTATTTTGAGCCATCCTTTACTCCTCATACAACAAAGTTTATGGGGATGACAAAATAGCATATCCGCTATATTTCGGAATAGCAGACACATTCAAAAGACGCGGGCTAGCTATTTCAGGATACCTCTGGTATCCCAAAATAACTTTGATGTGTAGACATACTCCATATGTTCAACTCCCAATGAGATTACCTAGATTCCTGGAGCTCCGTGTGCTGGTAGCTCAGGGAGAGGCACATTATCCCATTAGGAAGGAGGAGCCAAGGACGGAATCATAGAATACTACAACTGGAAGGAACCTCAAGAAGTCATCAAATCCAGTCCTCTGCCCTCATGGCAGGATCAAGCACGGTCAAGATAATCCTAGACAGGTGTCTATCTAACCTGCTCTTAAAAATCTCCAGTGATGGAGATTCCACAACCCTCCCCTAGGCAATTTATTCTAGTGTTTAACCACCCTGACAGTTCGGAAGTTTTTCTTAATGTCCAGCCTAAATCTTGCTGCAATTTATGCCTATTGCTTCTTGTCCTATCATGTGAGGTTAAGGAGAATAATTTTTCTCCCTCCTTCTTGTAACAATCTTTTAGGTATTTAAAAATTGTTATCATGTCCCCTCTTAGTCTTTTGTTTTCTAGACTAAAGAAACCCAGTTCTTTCAATCTTTCTTCACAGGTCATATTTTCTAAACCTTTAATGATTTTTGTTGCTCCTCTCTGGAGCCTCTCTAATTTTTCCATATCTTTCCTGAAATGTGATGCTCAGAACTGGACACAGTTCTCCAGTTGAGGCCTAATCAGCACACAGTACAGTGGAAGAATTACTTCAGAGTCTGCCCAGTGACTAACAGAGAGCAAGATGCCCTTCCTTGGGAGTTTAAGAGCGGGTAGAAGCCATTCTGAAGCAAGGTCTAGAGCTTGTCAAGGTAAAGGTAGGACTGGCTGTGTGTGGCAGTGGTTAGGCCTAGGTCTGCATGCAAGGTTTCCCCAGAGAACTGGCCTTCGTGGATCTAAGGCAAGATCCCTCAGCTTGGCTATCTTCCTCTACAATGTGACTTCCAGTTTTCCAAAGCTTTGTTGGGAAAACTTCCCCAGCCAAGCTGAGTTAACCTCCCAGCTTCCTAGGTGAGATCAGTCATACATAGCAAGCTCTGCTCTGGGTGTTAGTTCAGGGCTGCTGCCTACTGTAAATGTGTCTGAGCAATGGGATAGGAAACAAATGTTTGGATTTTTAGTATAGTTTTGTAACCTGCCCCTTGATCCCTGCACCCCTTTGTGGTGAGAAAAAAGCCTGGCAATGGAAGCAGCCTGACTCTTGCACGAAGAAGATAAGATGTCCGTGTTCATCAGCTCTCTGCAGTGATTGAGGCATCTAGAGCCATCTCTGAACCTGAAGATCTGTCGCAGAGTTGAGAGTTGAGTTATCTGGTCAGGAAAATTGTTTGGGAGACCCCTTAGTCCCTGAACTGTATCTTCAAGCCAGGGGGTAAGGATTTGGGAACTGTATTCTCTGCAGTCTATTTGTAAGGGGACTGTTACCCCTTACTAAAACTCCGTGGGAGTTTTTTGGTTTACCAGCTTCAGAAGGGGAAGGGTTCATGAGACTGACAGACCCCAGAGACAATGGAAAGCAGTCAACACTCCAGCTCAGCCTGACTGACAGGTTGTAAGTGGGGATTGTTCTGGCTCTGTCTCTGAACAAACAAGCTGTGTGCAGAAGAGGTCCTGCAAAGACAGAGAGCTGAAAGAGGAGTACAAGAAGAAGTCCTGCAGCGACAGAACCAGACACAGACAGGCCAAGCAGTGCAGACCCTGTGTTGAGCAGCAGACTGGCAGTGCTCAGAAAGCCAAAAGGAACAGAGAAACAACACAAGGAGCTGGAACTGGCCAAGCAGCACAGCCTGCAGCTGGATGTGGTGAGCTACTGGGACCTGCAAAGTGTGGGGAAAGGCTCTGGACTGGGAGAGGGGTCTGGCCACTTAGAGACTGAGGCTGTGTGGTCACTGCCAGTGCAAGCGTGTCCAGCCTGCAGCCCCTTGCAGCACATCCAGGGCTTCTAAGGAAGAGACTGTGACTCTAAGAAAGAGACTGTGGACTGTCCTTATACTCTGCAGGCTGCTGTTTTGATGTCCCTGTGCTACAGAGCAGGGCTGTGTGTTCTCATTTAACCATTCTCATTTTTTTCTTATTCTTTTCTCTTTAATCCGTTGTTGTTTAATAAATTGTATTTGCTTTGAACCTTATGAAGTGATCACTGGGCCAAGAAGGCCTGCAGTGTAAAGAGAGCACCTCGGAGTGGGGACACCCTAACTCCTGCCCCTAGTGACTACAAGGTCAGGGATTAAGCCCCAGGAAACCTGGGCCCAGCCTTGTTGGGGTTTCAAGGGCTCTGCTACTCAGGAGAGTGGAGGGGGAGCCCTCAGGATCAGGGAGCCGTGGGGTAAAGGAAGTGGGAGCGGGGACTCAGATCCTTTCGCTGGTTCATTTCACCGGGGTGTATAGAAGCCAGGAAAGTTCCCCACAAGAGCGGGACCATTCCCCCGCTTACACCTACATTAACCACCCTAGTTCGAACTAGGGGGCTAGTGTAGACATACCCAAGTAGTTTTTAAAGTGCTGTATAGTCCTGTCTTTTGTTTCTCCCCTGCAGTGCAGGCTACAGGATTCTGCTGCAAGCCAGGCTGGATTAAACCTTATGTGCCCCTAGCACAGCATCTTGAAATGTCTATATGGCCGTGCCCAAAGCTGCCCTCTCCATGTGTCCTGTCTGGAGCCCCGGGAGTCCTGTGTGGCCCACCCTGCCGCCTGGCCTTGTTCCAAGAAGGCTGCTGTGACTTTGAGGAAAACATGCATCCGCCAGCCAGCTGTTTGCTGCCACCCCCCAGACCAGTCAGCCTCCAGCTGTTCTGCCACAGCGGCCTCTGGTGGGAGAAAGGCAGCACGTTCGCCTCAGAAAATAAACTTCTGCCTCCTTTATCTGACAGCTAAAAAAAAGCCCGCTAGAAATTCACACACTTGGCAACCAGTGGGCAGCATTACGGCAGGCAGGCAGCTGCCGCAGGGGAAGAGCTGGGAGATAGGGTTGCCAGATGGCTGAACCAAAAATACCGAACACACCTCCCCGGGGAAAAAATTCTGTTGAAGAAAAAAAGGGGGGAGACCCAAGTTGTTGAGCAAAGAAAAAAAAAGGACTCCAAGACTTATTAAGCAAAAATAAACAAATAAATAATAAAACAGCATTCAAACAGCATGTCCCCTTTCAGAGTGAGTGCAGTTAGAATAGGATAGGAACAGTAGAGAGGTTGAGCACTAAGATTCAGGAGAGGCATTGATTCCCCTTGGTCTTTTTGCCAGCAGCCATTTTGTGCTGGCAGCCTTGCGGAACCAGGTAAGCATGGGATCTGGGGGAGGAGTGTTGGGGGCCGGGTTAGGGTGGACTCGGGGGGGAGGGGAAGGGAGGCCAGGCGCTGAATGTTTGTAGGGTTGCCAGGTGCCCAGCATTTTTGCCTCCTAGCAGGGAAAAAAATCAGAAAATACTGGACATTTCATGAAATTTTTTACTGGACAGGAGATGGAAATACCAGACTGTCTGGGTGAATACTGGACACCTGGCAACCCTACTGGGAGACAGCTGTGACTCGGGGGGGAGGGGAAGGGAGGCCAGGCGCTGAATGTTTGTAGGGTTGCCAGGTGCCCAGCATTTTTGCCTCCTAGCAGGGAAAAAAATCAGAAAATACTGGACATTTCATGAAATTTTTTACTGGACAGGAGATGGAAATACCAGACTGTCTGGGTGAATACTGGACACCTGGCAACCCTACTGGGAGACAGCTGTGCAGCTTTGACATTCCTCAGCACGGAGAGCTCACGGAGCTTCAAGAGAAAGGAGCGCAGGGATCAGCTCTGTCTCCCACAACACTGCCCTGCAGGATGCTCACCCACATGGCTTGGCTTTGTCAACAGGGGGGTAGCCATGAGGCCATCAAATGTCAGCAGTGGGAGGCCAAAAAACTAGTTTGACTGGTTTTCACTTTTGACGGCTTTTGCATGTTGACAGCACTTTTGTCACCAAATCTTCCCAGTGTAGATACGCCTTCAACT